AGTACAATTCTTTTCAACAAAAATTGAAGAAGGACCTAACAGAGTCCAGCTGATAGTCATTACATACACTTTGAAGAGTTTAGAACATTGAATGACTTTTTTTAAATTCATTTTTTTTTATAGTCCTATAATGTATACTTATGTGGACAAGGCTTTTGAGTGATCTACTTAAAAGAGTAGGAAAAGAATTTACATCTGATCTTGAATTTCTGTTAATAAGGTATATTCATTGACAGATATCAACATATCAAATCTTTTAAAAAGTCTGTCACTCATTAAGAGGTGTTTCCATACAATTTCACTTTTTTGCTACTATCCAAAATTGTAAATAGTAGCCGGGTGCTGGTGGTCACACTGTTAATCCTCACTACATGGAGCTGAAAATTGGAAGGATTGTGGTTGAAGCCAGCCTGAGCAAACAATTCATGTGACCCCATATCCAAATAGCCAGAGCAAAATGGACTGGAGGTGTGGCTCAAGTGGTAAACTGTGGCTTCCTCCTTAAATTATCACCTTAACTAACGAACTTTAAAAGTTCTGTGGTTACTGGACATATACATTACACATATATATGTATACGCGCACACACACACACATGCGCGCATATGGGCAAGCCTCCACGTGCTGGAGGGCAAGTGAGGAGCAGATCGTTGCTGCTGTCACAGCCTGAACATGGAGGGCCACTGGAGCCCTTTGATGCAGAGTAATCAAAGTGTTTTAAACAGCTCACATGAACAAAGTCACTCCGCCATATGTGAAGGGCAGATTGGAGAAGAGTAGTTGGAGGCTGGAGTGGGCTGCTAAACAGTACAGAGGCTGGAGGGAAGCAGTGGGTACGGAGAGTCAAGGGGGCAGGGGACTCAGATTCAGTAGGATTTTTGACTGACTTTTTCTGTGCAGAAAGGGAAAAGTAAAGACAGTCAATGCAATCATCTGGTAACAACTGTGAGCACATTACTTCAGCACACACCCAGCTGTCTTTTATAAGAAAGTTTGTACTGGGACAAAAATTCTTACCTAAGATCTGGAAATGGGTTGGCTGTAACAAGGGGGGTCTCCACGGAGTGTTCAAAAAGAGCCCCTTCAGGCCCTAAACAAAAACCAAATATACATTAGGAGCAAACATAAAGTAAGGGGCATCAAACAAATTAGACATCTGTCTTGAGCATCTCTGATCCAAAAATCCAAAATGTTCCCAAATTTGAAATGTTTTGAGAGTTGGTGTGATGCTACAAGCAGAAAATCCCACACCTGACCTCCTGTGATGACAGATGCACTAAAGAACTTATGTAAAATTACCTTCAAGCTATGTGCATAAGGTGTGTATGACACAAGTGAATTTCATCTTTGCACTTGGATCTCAGCCCTAATGTATATCATTATGCATATACATAATTAAAAAAAATCCAAAGCCCCAAACACTTCTGGGCCCAAGCACTTAGCATAGAGATGCTCAGCCTGTAGATTTTATTCTTCACTGCCGAATTGTGCAGATGTTTAAATTTCAGAAGAAAAGGCACCACAGCTTCTTTACTTTTCTGGTGCTAGCATGATTATCCTATCAACAAAATGTAGTTTTTTCAAAGCAGCAGATTTTTTTTTCCTTTGAAACTAGACAGCAACATTAGCCCTCAAATTGAAAAAGAAATAGTCCCATTGAAAGTCACATGTGCCCACTTATTTTTGGTTATATTAAGTTGACTAATTGGCTAGATTTTTTTGTGTGTGTGCAAGATTTGTGCCTTGTGCCATTTTTTTCTAAGGTACATCAGAAAAAATATACAAATTTAAACACTTAGGACAGACCTTCAGATTTCTAGAAATCAGTCTGCTCTCATCAGCTCATTGGTCTGAGAACTTGGACTCAGAGATGAGAGTACTGCTTGTCATATTAAAGTGTTAGCGGTAATAACTCAGAGCCCATATTTTAAATCTGTATGCCAGAGGGCTTCCTACATGTACGTAATAGAAAGAAAGGTGCCACAAGCAAAGTGCAGTTGAATTGTTTTGGGGTCACGAGCAGGGAGGAGTCACTTCAAAGCAGCAGTGAAGATTTTATATCAGAAAGGCAGTCGTGTGAACCATGAAATGAACAGACATTTATGAGCACATGGAGTTAGAGGGAAAGGATCTCAAGCAAAGCAGTTGCCCAAGGCAGAAAAATGGGATGACTGCAAGGGAGTGCATGAATCGTCTGTTCACTGGAAATATAGGTTTGACATGGAGGGATAAAGTATTCACAGGGTTTTTATTATTCATGCCATGTTTAAAATACTTCACCTCTCGAATTTTGTGGGCATATCACAGCTTTAAGTAACATCACTTGTCTTCATGCACCCATCATAATTTACCTAGGCCCCTTCCCTGTTGAGGCCCCACCCCTGTTTAAGCCTCACTTGGCCTAGGCCCCATCTCTATGTAGGACTGCCCTGGCCTAGGCCATGCCCTAGACATAGTTCCTGCCATGTTTAGGCCACCCCCCAACCCAGCCCTGTTCACCCCCATCCAGGGGCCATCCCTGTTTAGGCCCTGCTCTGTCTTAGGCTCTCCCCTGGCTTAGGTCTGCAGCTGCAGTTCACAGACACTTTATTCTCTCTTGATTCCATAAGGACTGAGAATCATCTTTACACTATGCAAGCTTTCCTCTTTAGGACATATCAAAACAATTATAATGCTTGCTTTCTAAACTTTATTCCAATGCTTGCTTTCTAAATTTCATATTAGGTATGGAAAAAAGTCTTCCCTGAGTGAAAGTTCCCCGGCACTAGATTGGGAAATCATCTCCCTGGGTGAAAGGCCTTGTCCGAAGCCCTCACCCACGTAACTACTTGCACCTGCATATGGGCGCCACAGAACTGGTGACTTACAGCATGCAAATAAGAGAGATCTAAATGAGCACAAAATGAAATTTTAACATTACAGCCATGATTTACATAAATACTATAATCAACTAAAATAAAGGAACACATAAGTAAAGGTTAGTAGTTCTTGAAAGGATATTATAATTCATGATGATTATATTCAGATAAGAAACAGTTCCTCATGCACCCAAGTCACATCTCAGGTAAGCAAGCCTAGATGATTACGGGGCCATTGTGTGAAAGTGAGCTACACGAAGCCCCAGACCTCCCGTAATCAATTGTGCCAATCACACGTTCTCGTGCAACATTTGGTTTGCCTGAAGTATGGACAACAGTTTGTGTTTGCCACAGAGCGGGAAGTAATTTAACACGGTGATCAGAATGTTACCTGTCTCCCCTTTTTCCTTTTCTTTCATCCTAGCTTTTCCTGAGTTGCGAAACATAAAAGCAAATGTAAAGGAAAATGCACTGCAGAAGCGATCATCTAGACGGTGACGTGCTAAGTCACTGTCTTTTGCTCAGGGAGTAGGTTTATAGTGGCTTCACAGCATCATGTGAGGCACGAGTAGCAAGTGTTGTGAAGATCCCGGGAGAGCTATGTGAGCGCAGACACATAGCTCCACCTACAAGTTTTCAACTTTATGATGGTAAGAAAGCCATATGCAGTCAATAGAACAGTGCTTGAGTTCTGGTCTTTTCCTGGGCTAGTGATATGTACACAGTACTCTCTGGGGATGTTGGGAAATGGCACTGGGCTACAGCTGCCAGTCAACCATGAATCCCATGGTTGCCAGCTGCAGCACAGGCTTTGTGTCAGTTGAGTTCGCCCAAGTGTAAATGCAGTGTTCTGAATATGTTTAAAGTAGGCTAAGTGAAGCCATGTGTTTGGTAGGTTAGCTGTATTAAATTCATTTTTAACTGGCAATAGTTCCAACTTACGCTGGGTTTATCAGGATGTACCTCTGCTGTAAGTCAAGGAGCATCTATAACTAAAAATAAAGGTATTCGTAACTAAGTAAGAGAAAAAAAGAATGTGATCCATAAACATTCGTGTATTTCATTTCCATGTTTTTATAGAAATAAAATGACAAAAATGTGGCAATACATCTTTCTCTATATAAAACCATGCCCTTTGTAAAACCAAGTTAGAAACTGCAATATATTCCACTTTTATAGGCGATCATCTATCTATCATCTATCTGTCATCTATCAATCTATCATCTATCATCTATTATCATCTATCTAACTATATATCTATCTATCATCTATCTTATTACTTATTTGTGATGCTGGAGATGCAACCCGGCCTCCAAGTGTGCTAGGCAAGCACTCAACATTGAGTTACATCCCTGGCCCCACACAAAATTTTTTATTAGAGTACAGTCTCAGAAATTATTAAAAATGTGCCCAGGGCATATTTTACAGGGAAACATAAAGGAATTGGGTTTGTACAGGTATGCCAAGTAGCTTCTCATGTGACTGTAATTAAGTGGGTTATGTTGTTATGTGCTTATGGTAATGCAATTATAGAAGACATAAAATTTATAACCAGATATATTATCTTGAACAAAAGCAGCAGTTTCTTTCATATGGCTTAATTATATCATTTAATTATATCATACAGTTTAGTTATATCATTCCCATTCACCTAAAGAAAATACTCTTCAGAAAATATTTGCATAGAATAAAGGATTTTTCTTGAATGGTTTCATAAAATCTTCATAAGTGATCGTGAACTTCAACGTGTAACTATTTACTCTATGTTTGCATTCCTATTTAATATTTCCAATCATAAGTATATAAAATATAATTGATATAACACCTGTTCCTTGTGGAAATAAAACACATTACTTTGATATCATGTAATTAAATTTTCATGAAGGAAAAGGATCCAGTATAAGATATTCATTATATAAACCAACATACTTAAATGACCTGAATAAAATATGTATTACTGACATAGGAAAGTATAACCAAAAGGGAAAAAGTAAAAAATCAGTCTTAACTATTTTTTTTCCTTTAGACTATGTTACTGAGATTAGGTAACATTGTCTACTATTAGGTAACATAGCTACTATGAAGCAGTGTCTGAATGACACCATTCTACCATTCTTCTTTTCTGCTCCTACAGTTTTCTTTCTTCCTTCCTTCCCTCCTTCTTTTTCTTCTCCTCCCTCCTTCCTTCTTCTTTTCTTTTCTTTTCTTTTTTAAATAGGGTCCTCACTGTGTAGTTTCAGGCAAGCTAGACTTACTATGTAGCCAGGCTAGACTCAAACTCTCAATTCTGCCTCAGCCTCTCACATGCTGGGGATACAGCAATGCCACAATGAGTCTAGGACACTTTATGATAAATGATACTCATGGGAAGACTTATAGTGAGACTGTGGTCCAAGAGGGTTGGAATGGTGTTGAAGGTGGGTGAACAGTTCGTGGATACAGTCCAATGATCATGGAGTTCATGACAGAACCCAGCTGGAATGGCTCCAAGTTGCTCCATTCTGTACACGTGCTGCCATTTCAAGGTTTTCTGCATTACAGAAAAGCATGGAACTCAAATACTTCTTTTCAAACTGGATAATGTATATTTAGACTTGTGAGATTTTGTATCTACACTGACAAGGTTAATTCTGCATGTCCATTTGAGCATTATGGACAGACATGGGCTTTTCAACTATTGCCAAATGAATTCTTTGCTCCCCCACTGACACACCGCCACCTTCCACGAATGCTATGCTAGTCTCACTACGTTTTCAAATGCCCCTGCCTTTAATATTCCAGTGAAAATGCTCTTGTTAAGAGGAACTTCATGATGATAAGTCCAATGGCAATTTCTGGGAATGTTATCTAACTTGGCACTAGGAAAATGGTTCCTGAGTTATTCCTCCTTCTAGACTGTTGGTGGCTACTCTTCTTCCTTATTTTCTTTTATGGTGGGACTAGGGCTTGAACCCAGGATTTTGCACTTGCAAAGCAGGTGCTCTACTGCTTGAGCCACATCTCCAGTCCATTTTACGCTGGTTATTTTGGAGATAGGGTCTCCCAAACAATTTACCCAGATTGGCCTTCACCCATGATCCTCCCAGTTTCAGCTTTCCAAGTAGATACAGGGCCCAGCTAGTGGCTCTTCTTTTGTATGCGGCCTCTCCTATTGGCATTTTTCAGAGCTCAGTTGGTGCATGATGCTCATGTGTACATCTTCTCTTCTGCACATCAATAGATCACATAGCCA